AAAAAAGTCATACAAGTTGGTCATATTTGGACCATATATATGTTGAAATATCAAATTGTTTCTCAGGAATTATAAAACTAAGATTTTGGATGGTGGGATTTGATCTTCATTTTGACAAATAGTTAATAATCAGTAGTAAAACCAAAATCTGGTTATTATTTTGTTCAAAATTTTAGTCAAATTTAAAGACTTCCCTGAATCATAGACTCCCATGTAGAAAGACTGTCAAAAATGTACATAAGCAGGCACTATTGCAATAAGGAATTAATACCAAAATACCATAAACAAAGCTCCACTACATCTTCATGTTGGTAAATACGCACCACAAAGCTTTGATTTTCTTCAATTTGGAAAAATCAGGACATATAGTATGCAAATAAATATAGTTACCCGTCTCAATCATTCTGACTATTTATCCATACCTCTTGGGGTGATGAGTGTGAACATTTTTCTAAGCAGCAGTTGGCAGTTGCTTTTCTACGAAGCCTTTGCTACTCTTTGTCTCTGTTTGTAGCATCTGTCCATGTCAAACAGTTTCTCCACTTTTCTATAAATATCTGTTCAATTCACCCTTGGACAAAGCACGTTAGCTTCCTACATCCTTTGATTCATCAATTTTTTTGTTTTTTTGTGTGATTGTCTTTCATAGCCCATAATAATGCTTCTGAAGAGCCACCGTCTCCTACTACTGCAACTACTCATTGCCTCAATCTATGTAACGTCCTGTTTTGGGACTTACTATCAGAACCTTGATCATTTTCATAGACCAACAGTACTCTACCGTCCTCCATGGTATTTTAGAGACCAACAAAACTACAACTACTACTACAACCGTAGGCCTAACTATGCTCACCAGCGCAGCTACAATAATGAATTTCAGGCCAGTGATCCAGTGACCAGGTCGAAGGTAGTCAATGTGAATGATTATGGAGCTAAAGCTGATGGAACGGATGATTCACAGGTATGAGTTATGCAATAGGAGATACCCCTCTCTCCTTTCTAACTCCTTTCTTTTCTTCTTATTCCCCTTGCATATCTCAAAGCTCCGAGGGAGATTTCTATTTAATTGATTTCGGTTTGGAGTTTGAGATGAGATTCATATGCACAAATTTTGATTGTTTTAGGCATTCAACAAAGCTTGGGAGGAAGCTTGTTCTTATGGAGGAGATGTTCTGATGGTAGTCCCTCAGAACAGGGTTTATGTTGTCAAACCGGTTACTTTCTCAGGGCCGTGCCGTTCCAACAATCTTGCATTCAAAGTGAGTTCTTGAATTCATGCATGGATATATATATATATATATATATTCATAAACACTCGTAAAAGAAATTAAAAGTTTCCCTGTTTTTTACACCGTGTGTATAGATTTATGGCACAATTAAAGCCACAGATAATCCATCGGATTACTCAGAGGATAGAAGATATTGGCTTCGTTTTTCCAATGTTGAAAACTTGAGAGTGTACGGTGGTGGCATCATTGATGGCAGTGGGAAGATTTGGTGGCAAAATTCCTGCAAAGTTAACCAAGAACTCGTATGTCAAATAATTTTTTTGCATTCCATTTCTTAAAATGTATACGTACTCCGTTTTTATCCCCAGAAATTACAGCTAACAGTACTTAATTTACCCCACTTTTGCAGCCATGCAGGGATGCCCCAACTGTAAGTTCATATGTCTCTTCTAATTTCATTCATCTCTCTTTAATTTGATCATATATATATATATATATATGTGTGTATGTATGTATATATGTATTCCATCTTATTAATTAACATATTGAAAAATAAAAAACTTGCAGGCTATGACTTTCTCTGATTGCAGTAATTTACTGGTCTATAGCCTTTGGTTCCAAAATGCACAGCAAATGCATCTCAAATTTGACAAATGTTTCAATGTAAAAGCTTCGAATCTCCAGGTGACTGCTCCAGGGGACAGCCCTAATACGGATGGAATTCATGTCACAGAGACGAAGAATATTAAGATTCTGAACTCTGTCATCAGGACAGGTGAATTAATAAAATTCAAAAACCAAATCAATGGTCTAATCATAACTAACTTCTTTTTTTTTTTTTTTTCTGTTCTAATTTAATTTCTGCAACACGTACTGAAGGTGATGACTGTATTTCCATAGTTAGTGGCTCAAAAAATGTTCGTGCCATTGATATAACCTGTGGACCGGGGCACGGGATAAGGTAATCAATTGTCTCTAATTGCGTTGCTATTTTCTAACCAAACCAATTAATACATAATTGATTATTAGTATTTATTTTTCAACTAGCATGTTTTTTCTACCATTATTTTTTTGCAGTATTGGAAGTTTAGGGGCTGGGAATTCGGCTGGCTATGTGTCAAATGTTCTGGTAGACAAAGTAAGACTTTCAGGAACCACTAATGGACTGAGAATAAAGACTTGGCAGGTGAAAACTGAAAACTATCACTACTTTCTAATGCAGTACCGTTTTTCAGAATTCAGAGCATAGGTGGGTCATACAGAGATGGTCAAAGTTCAGAAAAGCTTCTTAGAAAAACTTTGCCTTAGCTTTGAGATATATGTGGTTTCATTAATTCAAATACTTGAAAGGTTGCTCTAATCTAGCCGAAACATCGGCAGATAATCATAGAAAATTATAGAATAGAAAAAGTTGGAGCAACTCGTGAAAAACGAAGTTAAGTAGTCTACAAGGTAGAAGTCATATTGAAATTGTTCTTGGAGATCATAATTGCAATGACTTTAGTGTTTAGAGTGGACTAGTACCGAGTCAAGTTTAACAAATTCTATTTACCTAAAATTTGAATCTCTCAAAAAATAAGAACTGTCGATTTCCTATGTATACTTATTTACATTATTATGCTTAATTTGTTATTTCTTTATTGACTCCCCTGATTAAATGATATAAGATTTTCAGACTTTTGAAGATAATAGAATCTTGAATTTTAACATTTGATGTAGGGAGGATCAGGGTACGCCAAAAACATCATATTTCAAAACGTGCTAATGCACAATGTGACCAATCCTATAATCATCAACCAAAACTATTGTGATCAAGATGAGCCATGCCCACAGCAGGTAAATTATTTTGAAGTGGTCGATCCAACATTCATATTATAATTGCAATCACTTCCCTTAATTAATTCAACATCTGATGATACATGATTTGACTAATTGCAGTACTCTGCCGTTGAAATAAGCAACGTGATGTACAGCAACATCAGAGGAAGCAGTGCATCCGAGGATGCCATAACTTTCAACTGCAGCAAGAGCTTCCCATGTCAAGGGATTTGGTTGCAGAGCATAGCATTGGCAAGGCAAGAGTTAAACCAAGACGATGACCAAGTTGCTAAAGCTTCATGTTCGAACGTTGGAATAATCAGCAGAGGGAGTGTCTCTCCTCGTTGCTCCACAAAATAATTTAAGGTGTTATTCTTAATGAGCTTTAATTGTAAATACCCTTTTGGATTGTGGAACTGTCTTGGTTGTGTCGTAAAAATCACTATGAAAGTGATTTGTTATTGTTAATTTATTTCCAGTTGACAAATCCTACATGCTCATGCTGTGTTATTTTGCATGTAAGAGATTTTTATCGTTGTTTTTTTTCTTTTTTTTAATGTAAAACTGGAACTCAACATGTGTCTTCCTGCGGTTCGTCTGTGTGTGTGTTTTCTTAATAAATTTTTATAATAATAATAATTAATAATTATAACTAATTAAAATATTTGTCAATTATCTATCTATTCTTT